AGAAGAAGTCTAATCCTTTCTTCTCATCTTTTCCCATTGACCCGTAAATCACATTGAATCACTTAGTACTAATAACAACCACTTGTTTTGTTTGATCATTCTCGCTGTGTTTTTTTTCTTGTAAAAGCTCTTACATCACAATTGGTCTGGCGTCAATACTATCTAAATGTGAGTAATGTCAAAAGAACAAACAGATTCTCCAAAATTCACTCTCTAAATAGATAGACTTTAAGTGTACCAACTACCAAGCCCAAAAAAAAAACAGATGAACACCAATTTTTACAGGGACATTAGATACACGTTCAACTACAAGTGTAATGCAGTAGTCAAGTTAGTTCTGAATTAGGATTGGAAAAAACGAGTTTGACTTATCTTATAGCTTCCTTAAGCATTTCTTAAGAATCTCCTTTTCCAGAATTTAGAACACGAGAGAAATCTAAGAGTTTTTAGCTTAATCTCTTAGCATTTAGATCAACCTTCCTAGAAGCAGCAATTGTAGCCATAGCCTGAAACACGGTACCGACTTTTCAATTTACTAATCGAGCTCAAAAATATTAGAATTCCTTATATTTTCAGAAATCAGGACACGAAAGAGCAACAAACCGATTGAACACGAGAGGAATCGAGCTGGCGATCCTCGACACGATCGGTGAGCTTGTCGAAAGCTTTGCTATGTTGCTGCAAGTCCTTTGAATCTAACGCTATCTCAGCCCCAGCTTCCTCTCTGCTCCCTCCATTGCTTCTAACTCTTCTCTTCCAGAACCATTGGTAGGTTGAAAGTGATACAGTCAAAATCAATATGGCTTGTACTATATATCACATCTTATGTACTATATGCATTCTTATTAAACCCAAATCAACTTCACAAATTACCAAATGAATATTCGTACATAAGAAAGCACGATAAAAACAGCATTCAGTTTTGAAACACTATATTTGAATCGAAAACCAACTAACAAAGATTATATCAACAAATATACATGCTATGAAACATATGTCAACATTTTGAATGAGTGTGAATGTAATGGAACCATCAAGAATACCAAACAAAAAATTGCTCGTTAGTATCAACAACAAAAAGATCCATGTCTATCCAACTAAAAACAGTAGTAGATCACTAATTCAATCGTTAGTCTACATACCACTAAAGGAGATGATTAGGAAAATTCTTTCCATCTAAGACCATCAGCAGTGGCAAATGTGTTTGTGTGGGTGTAAGTATTTTTTTAGTATTATAATTTAAAACAAAAGAGAAAAGAGAAAGAAAAAGAAAGAGAGAGATAGAGAGAAAAAGTGTTACACCCGAGTGTAAACTTAGACCCGGGTGTGAAGAGAGAGACAATTTTTTGGTTTTTTTAATACCTACACCCCAAGACTCACACCCACCTGCTTGTGCCACTGCTGATGCTCTAAGAAAAGCAAACATTTTCTTGCCACATTACATGGTGTACGTTGGTCTATT